TCGAGTTTGTGTAATAGGTCTCACCGAGATTACGTTATGCCCTAACCCTAACCATATCGGTCCTACGGAGTTGCATGTCGGTCCCACCGAAAATCCTAACCAGTCACTAGATTTGCTGAATCAGTCCGATCGAGTTTATCAATTCGGCCCCACCGAGATTGGCAAGTTGTGTGTAACGGTTAGATTTTCTGTGGAGGCTATATATACCCCTCCACCTCCTATTCATTCGTGGAGAGAGCCATCAGAACGAACCTACACTTCCAACTTACTTTTTCTGAGAGAGAACCACCTACACTTGTGTTGAGGCCAAGATATTCCATTCTTACCATATGAATCTTGATCTCTAGCCTCCCCCTAGTTGCTTTCCACTCAAATCTTCTTTCCACCAAATCTATATCTTGTGAGAGAGAGTTGAGTGTTGGGGAGACTATCATTTGAAGCATAAGAGCAATGAGTTCATCATCAACACACCATTTGTTACTTCCTGGAGAGTGGTGTCTCCTAGATTGGCTAGGTGTCACTTGGGAGCCTCCAACAAGATTGTGGAGTTGAACCAAGGAGTTTGTAAGGGCAAGGAGGTCGCCTACTTCGTGAAGATGTACCGCTAGTGAGGCAAGTCCTTCGTGGGCGACGACCATGGTGGGATAGACAAGGTTGCTTCTTCGTGGACCCTTCGTGGGTGGAGCCCTCCGTGGACTCGCGCAGCCGTTACCCTTCGTGGGTTGAAGTCTCCATCAACGTGGATGTACGATAGCACCACCTATCGGAACCACGACAAAAACATCCGAGTCTCCTATTGCGTTTGAATCCTCCAAACCCTTCCATTTACATTCTTGCAAGTTGCATGCTTTACTTTCCGCTGCTCATATACTCTTTGCATGCTTGCTTGATATGTATTGTGTTTGTTAAACTTGTGCCAAAACTCCACTTAAACTTAAAAAATTAAAAACTGCAACTTTTTGTACTAGTGTCTAATCACCCCCCTCTAGACACCTCTTCTCGATCCTTTCAATTTGCATTCAAAGGCAAAATAATTATATGCATATCTTCAGGGGAAGCCTCTTTCAACTTATGAAGCCAATGACTGCGTTCTTTAACTTACACATATTTTTATCCTTGTTGAAAACTTCAACCAGTTTGTCATCAATCACCAAAAAAGGGGAGATTGTAAGTCCATCTAGTGCCACCCCTAGTTGGTTTTGGAGTATTGATGACAAATGTGGTTGAGGGACTAATGTATTTGTAAGGATTACATGATAACACATGTAGAAGTCCCTCATTGATTCGGTTTACCTACCAGAGATGACCCCTAAAAATGTATGAAGACAATGGTGGTTCGTGAAGACATTCACATTGAAGACAATGACGTGTGAAGACATTCACTCGAAGACTATGGAGTGCGAAGACATAGTTTCTTTCGTAGTTTCATTTTCTTCTTTCTTGAGTCAAAGGAACCACCATACTATTAAGTAGGGTCAAAGTGAACAAAGTCAGAAGACTGACGTGATGCTCAACCCAAAATCATATGTCTTCGAGTGAAGACGATGAGAGCAAATCTTATCCAGAGTTGGATGAGTTAGCTTTGCTTGTAGCCCAAGCCAAGTTGTTGCGTGTGTTTGAAATCCGACCATTGGGTACGTGTCAGTTCCTTAGTGACCCAGGGTCATTTTGGACATATCAGGTCGGGTTGCCTCCTGGCTATAAATAGCCCACCCCCTACACCATAAATTGGTGTCTGCTTAGAGTTAGTGCACGACTTTTGTCGTTTAAGAGCAACCCACCTCCGAAGCCTTTGAGAGAGAGAGAGAGAGAGAGAGAGAGAGATCTTTGCGAGGACAAAGCCCAAAACACCCAGAGACAAAGCGTGTTAGGAATCACTGAAGTCTTTCTATCCGCGTGACTTGAAGACTTGTTACACTTGAGGACTGTGTATCCTCTAGCCGGTTAGGCGTCACGTTCTGAGGATCCAAGAGTCATTGTGGATCGCCGGTGAATGGAGTCTGAAGGTTTGGAAGTCTACCTTGAAGACTTACCAGAGTGATTGGGCGAGGACTGGGTGTCCTTAGCTCAAGGGGAATAAGGTGAAGATGTGGTCTTTTAAGTTCAATCTCAGCTTGCCTAACCAGACATACAGTTGTCAGAGAAACTGGATCTGGTCTACCAAATCCTTGTCTTCACCAAGCTACTGATTCTATCCCCCACCTCCTTTACATCTTCGTGAAGTCATTGCTTGTTTGCCTGATCAGTTTGACTTCATTGTGCGAAGACTATTACCTGTTTGGCTTCATACTGTCTTCCATTATGATCTGTACTACCTAGCTACTATTAGTCTTCGTACTTTCATTTTATTGCTTACTTGCCTATGGCATGTCTAGTGTAGTTTATCTTCCGCTGCATATCATTTATGTTCCATTTGATTATTTGTCTTCAAAGACCTCGTGTTTTGAAGACTTCCATAAAAATCGCCTATTCACCCCCTCTAGTCGATAACTAGCACTTCCAACACCAAATACAATGGTAATTGTATAGGTGTACTAATTCGGCGAAAAGATAGTGATACAAGTGTAGTAATGATAGTAGATATTGATTTTTGTAATAGTAACAATAAAAAAACATCAAGGTAGCAAGTAACAAAAGTGAGTACAAATGATATTGCAATTCTTGAAAACAAGGCCTAGGGTCCGTACTTCTGCTAGTGCATTCTCTCAACATTGCTAATATAATTGGATCATATAACCATCCCTCAACGTGCGATGAAGAATCACTCCAAAGTTCTTATTTAGCGGAGAACATAAGAAGAAATTGTTTGTAGGGTACGAAACCACCTCAAAGCTATTCTTTCTGATCAATTTATCCTAGAGTTCGTACTAAAATAGCACAAAGCTATTCTTTCCGATCGATCTATCCAAGAGTTCGTACTAAAATAACACCATATGATACACATCAACCAACTCTAATGTCACCTAGATACTCCAATGTCACCGCGAATATCCATGAGTTGATTATACGATATGCATCAAACAATTTTAGATTCATAATACTCAATCCAACACAAAGAACCTCAAAGAGTGCCTCAAGATTTCTACCGGAGAAACAAAGACGAGAACGTGCATCAACCCCTATGCATAGATTACCCCAATGTCACCTCGGGAATCCGCGAGTTGAGTGCCAAAACACATATCAAGTGAACCAATATGATACCCCATTGTCACCAAGGGTATTCATAGCAAGACATACATCAAGTGCTCTCAAATCCATAAAAGTACTCAATCCAATAAAACAAAATCTCAAAAGGAAAACTCAATTCATAACAAGATAGGGAGGGGAAAACACCATATGATCCAACTATATTAACAAAGCCCGTGATACATCAAAATCGTGACATCTCAAGAGCACGAGAGAGAGAGAGAGAGGCAGATTAAACACATAGCTACTGGTACAAACCCTCAGCCCCGAGGGTGGACTACTCCCTCCTCATCATGGTGGCCGCCGGGATGATAAAGATGGCCACCAGTGATGATTTCCCCCTTCGGCAGGGTGCCGGAACATGGTCTAGATTGGTTTTTCGTGGCTATAGAGGCTTGCGGCGGTGGAACTTCTGATCTAGGATTATTTCTGATGGTTTCTCTATTTATAGGATTTTTTGGCGTCGGATTCATGCGAAGATGGGTCTCGAGGTGAGCACAACCCACCGGGGCAAGCCAGGCCCCTCTGGTGCGTCGTGGTGGGTTGTGCCCTCCTAGTGGCTCTTCTAGCCCTCCCACGAAGCTTCGGGGGTCTCTTTTGTTTCAAAAAAAATCATAAAAAAGTTTCAGCTCATTTGGAGAACTTTTATTTCCGCACAAAAAACAACACCACGGTAGTTGTGCTGAAAACAATGTCAGTCTGTGTTAGTTCCATGCAAATCATACCAAAACCATATAAAATTGTTGTAAACATGACATGAATACTTCATAAATTATAGATACGTTGGAGACGTATCACACCCCTACCGTCACATGTTTTATTATAGCGTCAAAATGTGCATGGTTGATTTGGTAGGCCAATTTGAATTTGAGTTAGAGAAAATTTGAAATTTAAATTGCCATCACAACTTTTATTATATTAACAATGGGACTTCACATTCTCACAGTAGTGATCCATATATTAAAATGAGCATCGAAATGACATGTTATCAAGCATTAGAAATAATACATTAGAGAAGGCATCATGACGAACAGTAGTGCACCATCAGTGATTCATGGGTTGTGACACAGTCTCCTGTGAAGACAGCGATGACTTTCTTAAGAGATGACTAAGAATTCTCTCAATTTCTTGTTGCTTCTTTTCAAAGCCCTTGGGTTTTCTCTCCTGGCCCATCTTGATAACTTCTATTTCTAGTTGTTGTTTTATTTTGAGCTCTTCGATTTCCAACATCTGTGTAGTAAGTAGGACATTCAGATTTCTGCAAATGTGGCAATTGCTTGTTTTGTGTCTGTCACTTGTGCTTTAATCTTTGCTTCTAGCTCACAGATGCATTGATGCATTGTTTAGAGGATGAATCATGTGATGAGATGCCAAAAGCTTAAAAGTAACTGACGATCGATGTATGCCACAGAATCGTTTTATTAATACTGCGTTGGAACTTAAGACTTCTTGGCTCAGATACCATATTGAATTCATGTTGCATCCAACTCATTCAAAAGTCCGAACTGTTAGAGGGAGGTGGGCAATATCTTTCAACACAAGAGAGTTGCTCTTACCTAGTCGTTTTACAAAACAACCCTCAGTTATCTTTCTGCCTGGATACATACGATGCGAGTTACCCAAAGTATGGAGCGCCAAAGTGCAAAATTCCCAACCCAGCCCATCAAACACTTCCCTCCCACAGGAAGCGCTACACAAACTTGGACCTGGAAAGCTTGAGGCGCCAGGCCCCGATCGATCAAGCGCACCTCCCTTCGGAGAGAGGCAGCAGCCGTCCATCTCCGGCGCCGGCTGGCTCGACCTCGGCCGCAGTCATGTCGAAGAAGAAGGCGGTGACGACGATGACGCTCAAGGACTTCCACGGCGGCTCCATCCCCTCCGAGCTCCCTCTCCCCTCCGCCCCTGGCGTGTAAGTTCCCCAAACCCTAACCCCACCGACGACCCCTCACCGTGCTGTAGCTGACGGACTGCTCCCGTTTTCGCAGCTCTGCACGACCGCCCGACCGCCCCACGGCCCCTCCGTCCGCCTCTTCGACTGCATCCGCGCGCCCGCGCACTCCCGCTGCTTCCTCCGCAGCGGCGGCGGCTGCCGCTGTCCCTTCCTTCCTCACCAACCCCTCCCGCATTGGCCGCCACTTCGATGAGGACGAGCGCACGCCCTTCGAGCTGGCCGCGCCTCGCCGACCTGCGCCGTCGCCCCCGTCGTTCCCCTCCGTGCCGGCGGTGGCCCCTGCTAGATCTGGACCGGGTAACGCCTGGGGTGCGAAGAGGGAGGTCGCTCCAGCCGCGCCGCCGGTTGTTCCTGCCGCCAGCAGCGGTCAGATCTGGTCGGCGACGCGCATCGCGCAGGCGAGCGCTGTGGAGAAGGTAATCTCCGGTAGGTGGCATTTGTCCAAGCCCTCCTCCCCGCCCGCCTCTGTGTCGGCACCAGTGCTGGAGACTCAGGTGGTCCCGCCTGAGATGGAGAGGTCAGGGTTGGTTGGAACGAGAGGGTTTGACACTGCCATCGAGAGGCCAAGGGCGTTGGCTGTGAGAGAGCTGGACGGTGCCATGGAGAGGCCAAGGTCAGTTGGATTAAGAGGGCTGGACGTTGCCATGGACAAGGGGGTGGAACCAGTGAGGCCTTCATCACATGAAGGCAGGGTTGGGGAAGGGAAAATCGGAGAGGTGCCAGAAAGGCCCAAGCTGAAGCTGCTTCCTCGTTCCAAGCCAATCGAATCCCCTGCACCATCACCTACCTATATGGAAGAGAAGCAGGTGACTATATCTGTTCTTTTTCTGAGTTTTATGCTGATCTTATTTCTCTACAAGATGACCCTTTAACCTTGCTTGGTGACACCTTTCTTCCTAGCTGATCTGATTGCAAATTGAAATTGCATGCGTTGCATCAAGTAACATTATAGCAATATTAATAATTGATCAACATTGATTATTCAAGCGGAGTTTGCAAAAGCATATAGGAGATATCTTCATGCGAAGCTACAGATGATTGAATTATGTAGTTTTTCTTCTTATTAGCTATTTTGATATCATTGGATTCACTATGGTGGAAATTTAATCTTTTTCCGTGGTGGTTTAACAATTGTGTAGGTCCTTCCGGTCCCTGTGATAGCGAGTGTCATGCAGGTTGAGGTTGTTCATGAAGCGCGCCAGAATGTGATGGTCGCCAAAACGGGAGTGGCAGGGGCAGATGCTGAAAGCAGGGCAACAGTGGAGCGACCACGGCTGAATCTGAAACCTCGCTCTAATGGAGTGGGTCAGTCTGGTGAAAGTGCTGCAAAGGAGAGGTACACAGTGTTTAGCTTCTCATTTTGCTCTTGTGACTTCTCTATTTGCTTTGCAAGATATTCTTACATTTTTAACTTGATTGTTTGTTGCTTGCTGTAAATTGGCTCATATCTATTACATGTTATGTCATTGTTATATCATAAATACCATACACTTTATAACCTGCTCAAGTTTGTATTATATTCCATCTTGTACCAACACCATATTTACTATTCCTGTTAATTGATCTACAATTAAGTTCCAATATGCGCAACTTTGATGCAGAATTCGTCTGCTCTGTTTGTTTGCACTATGTGTATTCTAACTACAAATGGCTGGTAGGCAGATCAAAATAACACCCAATATACTGTAGGCCATGTCTCTCTTTTTACAGTTGGCATGTAGTTCATGCTTACCCAAAGAGCACAAGGCAGACACACCTGTCTTGCATTTCACAGAGAGTTAATATCATCAGCTAGTGCCGATCGCCTTGGTGTCACTGTTTTTCTGTTTGACAACTACTACCTCTAGTTCCTTATTTCATCTGGAATGAGTGATCTTTAAACATTTTAATACCATGCGGAGGAGTTTATGTACAAAATCTTCAATTTATTGTAATGGTACATAGGAGTATCATAGTTCTGATTTGGATAGTAGGAACCACAAGGCCACCTGCTATGGAGAAGTATTTAATTTTTATGTTTGATGTATGGGTGTCTGTAATAGTAGAATGGTACCTTGGTGCTGTTTTCTGTTATTTGTTTACAACATCCCCATCCCTCATTTCTGAGAATGTTTAGAATAATTGTTTTGGCCCTATATACTGGTGCTGAATTTCTCAGCAACTCAATAAGTGAGCAATATGCATTTAACTGGTTTGATAAGAATCGTCTTCAATGCCTAGTTCATTTACCGGTAGAGAAGTATTTTGTCACTACCTTGCCGTAGTTTTGCAATCACTGTTACTGTTACTATCCTTGTTGTTTTTGTTGTATATAACTTATCTTGTTGTCCAATCTATTAGGCCATCCCTCTTTGGTGGTGCTCGCCCCCGGGAACAAGTATGTGCATCTGCTTTCTTACATCCACTCATGTGGTTTTAGTGGTGTGTTATTTTATGTTTATTTTTTCATTCTAACTGATTGTTCTTGTATGAAACCAGGTTCTCAGAGATCGTGGTGTGGATGCTTTGGCAAGTGACCTCGAGATCACCTCTCCAGTTGGCAGGTAGTTACATGTAGACACGGACCAATTTATATCTGTAGTATATTGGGTTGACATTATTACTAGCATTTTGCAGTCAAGGCATGTTTATTATTGTTGTTCATCTTGAATGTGTTATCTAGATTCTTCCTACTACCTTGCTATGATATATATTGTGTAATTTTGATTTGTTTTCTGGAAGCTGCCAATTTAGCTGTTGCCTGTACCTAGTTAACCTTGTGCTGCCACATCCAGACAATCATACTTGTTGGATTCCAGTGTATTATGCCAGTAAAACTTGTATAGTTGTGTTAAATTTAGGTTGGAAATTACATGTGGACTGTAGTATATGTTCCCACCATAGGGACAGTGCAGAAGTGCTGGAACAGCTATCTGCAATAGAGCGAAGAGGCATGGTTGTCTTGGTAGCCTACAGTTACAGAAATTCGTGAGGACTGCTAGACGGGCCTTCGCTCTTAAGATGGTAAAAGTTACAAATCGTATGCTGTTGACAACACTTCTCTTGACGCTGTTTCTATCAGGCCTGGATGTGCAACTTGCTTAGGCCTGGAAAGCTAGATTTGTTTTCTTTGAATGCATTTGAAGCTAGAAATCAGATTCTGTCGTATTCTTATACTGCTGTAATAAGTCATAAGGTTTATTTTGGAGTGTCAAGGAAAGATATTGATTATGTTTTTTTTTTAGTTTTTACCCGGCTTATATGTTAATTTTCACTTTTCAGTAGCAACTTGTTATGCTTCTTTTTCCTAAGTAGTGGGGAATGTTCTTTTCTGTGGAGTTTAATTTTCTGCAAAGATTAATATAGATATATGTCAAGTTGAAGATGTCACATTTACTAATAACCGGCGTGTCATCTAGGTCCAAAAATGAATTTGCAAAGGTCGAGCAGAAGGTTGAAGGTATGACCATTAACCCTTCAGGCGAAAAGGCTGAGAGTTTTACAGTTGGTCACAGAGGCCCAAGGAATGCTGATAGGAAAGATTACAGGCGGGATACAGACAGGGCTGATGCATACAGGCCTACACGACGCGATGAGAGCAGGAAGGTTGCTAGAGATGTGGAAAAGCAGCCTGAACAACAACGCCCAGAGCCTGAAACCTGGCGTAAACCAGTGGAGCCACCAAAGCCTGAGGTTACTGCACCTCGGTTTGGGAAAGCAGCGACTGCCTTGGAGCTCGCCCAAGCCTTCTCCAAGTCCATGTCTGATACTGTGCCGCAGTCTCGCTTGACCAGTGTTCCTAGTCCAAGAGTTCCTCCGAGCCCAGGGGCTAGGGATCAGGTTGGCTTTTCAAGGCTCACTAACAACGGGGCATTGCACTCTGGATCTTCACAGCGAAAGATTAACGGTTACTGATCCTGTGGCGAACATACACTATGATCCCGTGATGACACGGTTCAAATGTCATGGCCATCCTGAAGCACACTCACTGCTTTACATTACAGCCTTGTTCAGTTGTTCCAGCATGGGGAAGTCGAATTGTGCGGTGCAGGAGGGGCGCTAGTCTCATTTTTTAGCAAACAAATGTTCCTCTTGTAAGTTGGTGGCCCATTTCGTCTCTTGATAACAGGAGATGAGAATTTATAAACTTTCTATTTGTCAGCCTGCTACCCGCCTGTGATATAAGCTGGGGAATAATTGCTACCCTTGTATTGGCATAGTTGGGCTTGCCATGTATTGATTCTGGCGTGCTTGTTTTATGATGTTGCCAGATTAGGGTGTTTACACCCTCTTACCAAAATGATTTCATTGCGATTTCATCAGCAAAGTTAATTATGAGTGAAGATTGTACGATTCTTTCATGATTTGCTTCTTTTATTTGCCCACTGTATCTTGCTGATCACAGGGATGAATGACCTGAATGTTGCAGAGTAGAGTTGGATTTCTCCGTCGTTTTCCGAAACTGGCTCGAAGTATTGCTTTTGTCGAACCCGGCCGACCAAATCATGCGGGATGACAAGAATTGTGAAGAAACGATCTAAACAGAGGCGCAACGCAAGTTGGATGGAAGCCGAAACAATAGACATAGATATTCACATGAGAAGCCAGCACTAGAAGGAATCACAGAAGCATCAGCTTTGGGAGCTCATATTGGGCACACAAACAGAGAGAGGGTTCATGGTCAGACCACCACGTTGCCACTTGCCGCTCCCATCACGGCACACCACCACAGCGAGGTCGCCTGAGCTCGCTCAGAAGAGGAACGCCGTGGGCGCGAACGCCGGCAGCACCGTGGGCGCCCCGAAGCGCCTGCAGGTAGAGAGACAATCATCTGGGTCAGTTTTAGTGACACAAGGATACCGAAATGCAGCACAGTCGTAACTTTACATGAAGCATTCAATTTCCGTGATTTTTGTACCGCTAAACTAGACCCCTCCCCTTGTGGAGGGCAAGTAGTGCTAGCAGCACGCATCAGGGTCACATGCTCACTTGACTGGCCAGTGCAGCTCGTGCTTTGACTAAGGAAAAAGTCCACTTTAAACCCTAAATTCGTAGAGATTCGGCGAAATGAACCCTGAAGTTAAAATCCCGGTCGATTGCACCTTAAACTATGCAATCCCGGTCTAAATTAAACCCTGGCAAGTGTCAACCGGGATTTGTCTGGCTGGTGGGCCAAGGAGCGCCAATGTTTACCAGGGCGCCAGCCCATTTGTTTTTCTGTTTGCTCAAAAAAAAGTACGCACATGCGGAACTCGAGCGAGCTTGTGTAACGCTAAAAATAAATACGGGCTTGACAAGTTACGAACCAACACAAATCAAGTAGTACCAGTTGCGGTTGTATAAGTTGAAAAAAATACGGGCTTCCTGTTTTGCTAAAAAAAAAAGTACGCAAAAGCGGAACTCGCGCGAGCTTGCAGCTACAGGTGCGGTTGCAACCAGTTGAGCTAGCAAGCAAATTTGTTTTTCTTTTTCTTTTTTTGCGGGTGAGCAAACTTGTTTTCCAGAAGCACAAAACAATAAGAATCATCACCAGATTCGAATATTTTTTAAATAAAAAATATTCGGATATTTTTTAAAATTTCAAATGCAAAACATTTTAAAAGAACTTGAGTGTTTTATGAAAAGCGACCACTTTTCAAATTCGTGAACAGATTTACCATAATAAATTTGGAAAATTCAAATAAACTTTTGGGACATGCACATTTTTTAAAACTCCCAAACAAAATTTTAAAACATGAACGTTTTTGAAAATTTGCAAATAATTTTTAACGGGAATAACTTTTAAACTCCTGATTTTTTATGAAAACACAAACATTTTTTAAATTAGAGCACACGACATTTTTAAAATTGATTTTTTTAAACAGAACTATTTTTTTGAAATCCCAAACATTTCTCTAAAAAGTTACCAAAAAATGGAACAAAAACATTCTGAACAATTTTTTTTAAACATGAATATTTTTTTAGACATACGAATATATCCTCTGAACAAATTTTGAATACGCATTGAACATTATGTAATATATGTTGAACAATTTTTTAATACACATTGAACATTTGTGTAATATGACCTTAATAAATTTCAAAAACACTGTGATTACATATTCATTGAACAATTTCTAATAAATGTTGAACAGTTTTGTAATGGATGATGAACTTTTGTAAAGAACCATGAACATTTCCTTAATATACCGATGAACATTTTTGTAACATGCAACGAACTTTGTATATTATAATAAAATCGAAACAATAGAAATAAAAAATAAAAATATAGGAAAAAAATAAACAGAAACAGAAAAAAGAAAAGAAACAGAAAAAGGAAAAGAAACAGAAACAGAAACAGAAAACAGAAGAAACAGAGAGGCAGCAGCGGACAAGTCTGGGCCGGCCCAAACGGGGCTGTTGCGAGGCGAAGCTTCGCGAAGCCACACCGTCTTGACGCAGACGAGCGTCGCACAGGGACCCCTCAAAAAAAAAAAAAAAACGAGCATCACACAGGGATTGCCGTTGCATCGATCAAACAACACCAGCGCCACACCGTGAGCTTATGTTTTGTTTTCTAACGGAAAATATGAAGCGGGCCGGCTAAACAGGGAGCAAGGTGTAGCGCCTTTGCGAATTTTTGTTTCTTG